TCTGTGACTGCAGTACTTTTACCCACAGCTCATTCCTTGTATCTTGTTTCAGCTCCAATGGGATCCTGTCCAAAATTCCTCGATCTAGAGCAAACAATCGACCAATCAGCGAAAACCCAAAAGCAGAATGTAGCAAAACAAAATGAGCCTATTACAATGCAGACTACATAAAGCCTAACTGCATGCTGCTTGAGAACAGTTAAGAATAACCGCCCGCTATAGTCCACATTCCAATCCACAGAGATCCACTTCTGGATCAGCATGTCCATGTTCATGCCAGGATAAATACCTGTTTTTATTTCTTGTGCCAGAGGGAAAAAATATGCATATGGGTTGATTTGTGATGTCTGGCAAGTAGCGAATAATGTTCCACCTCTTCGGAAAATTGGGAGCCACTGTCTTTTTCTGACTTGTGCCCTTTGAGTGCTCTGGAGATCTCAACCAAACCTGTTCTTGGTCCGGTCTTGCAAAATATTTTCATTTCAGGCTGCAATTTTATCATGTTTATTTATTAAGAAATGATCTTACCATTTGGCCTACACGCTCATTCCACAGTCGAAGTTTATTAGAGTCAAACTATATTAAAGGTGACATATCATGAAAATCGGACTTTTCCAGGTTTTAAGTGCTATAATCAGGTCCCCGGTGCATCTACCAACCAAGGAAACGTGAAAAAGATTAACCCAGTAACTTTGTTTTGGTAAGCCTTTTTCTGCAAGCGTCTGAGAAAACGATGATTTCGCTCCATTGGTGACGTGGAAAAGGGATCTAATTAAAATATTACCACCCCTTAATCTGTAAACTTCCACCCAAGGCGCCGTCATTTTGATTTTGCAAGCGACAACGGTGTACTAGTTATTTTAAACTCATATGGTTTAAAACATATGGTTTTTCAGCGTGATAAACATGATAATCAGAACCAAAATAGATGTTTTAGCAGGTCCGAGCTGTAATGGCGCAGCTCTATTCTGGAAAAGGGGACGGGGAGCAGCAGCTCATTTGCATTTAAAGAGCCAGGCCCGAAAAACAGCGTGTTTCTGCTTCCACTCAAAATAGGCATTTTCAAAATGATATAATAAATGATCTGTGGGGTATTTTGAGCTGAAACTTCACAGACGCATTCTGGGGACACCAGAGACTTATATTACATATTGTAAAAAGGGGCATAATATGTCTCCTTTAAAGATTATTCATTCTCAGCAAGCTGACAATTTTAAAAACAATAACATTTTTATGCCTTGGATAACAGATGTTCAATACTATTAACACAATGTCTAACACTATTAACACAACACTAGTCAAATTAAAACATATTAAATAATAATAATAATATAAATAAATAAAAGACTAGTTCATCCAAAAATGAAACTTTTCTGGACATTTACTTTAATTGTATGGAAAAGAGCAGCTTAGATATTGTATAAAACTGTATATTTCCATTTGTGTTACAAAAAATAATAAAGGAAGTCAAATAATGACGGAATTTTATTTTGTACTATTTCTTTAATTGTATTTATTTATTTATATTTCTAGTTTCAATAGTGCTGGACATCTGTATTCCAAGCAGTGTTATTATAGGTAACTAAAACTAAAATAAAAATAAAACAATTGTTACTTGAAATAAAGCAAATTTTAACTGAAATAAAATACATGTAAAAAATATATATATATTTCAGCTATTTGCCAAAGTACCATATATTGCTGTACTAAAATACTGAAATAAAAATTTATGAAAATTATATAGATGTCACCGTATCTTTCAGTTTGGACTTTGTTTTCCTTTTGCACGTTTTTGTTCTTTGAGTTAATTGTGTCATTCCGTTCAGGTGTGTGTCATTAATTAGTCTGCTTGTGTATTTAAGTTGCTCTTTTTGTGTTCATTGTTGTCGTATCTCGACGATGTTACGTGTTGCAAGTCTTCCCTCTATATTGATTTACCTTCTGTGGATTTTTTTAAAGACCGCCTACAGTAGACAGACAATAGATATATTTTAAAAAATTATAATAATAATAAGAACAGCAAAAACACAAATAAATTACTGAAACTCTTGCTAAAATTTAAAAACAAATTCAAAATATTAATTAAAAACTATATTTATTAATGATACTAAAATAACCCTGATTCCAGCTATTCTTTGAAATTGAAAAAATAAATAAATTCCAAATAAAAAATTAAATAAATTTGTTTTTGAAACTTTAGCACTTCTAAAACACATCTTCAAGCACATCCTTGATTTCCAACAGTAATGCATTTGTGTCTTGTAGTCCTTGATTGACTGGTGCCCTTTTCACACCATATTCTGCCCTCGATTTGTAGGTTAAGTTTTTCACAGTTAGGCATGGCAAGAGTGGAAGCAGCCTGTGGTTTTTCAAAATAAATAAATTGGTCGCTGTTAGACTTATTCTTGGAGACTTAAATCAAACCGAATCCAAATGGCTACATTCACAAGATTATTAAGTGAATGGGAGAGTGGTGCTCTAAATGGAAAATCCCTGCTGTAGCCAAGCCCCCGACTTCTGGTGGACATTTCTGAACACCACATCTTCGAAATGACAAAGAAATAAAATGTCACTTCATCTGTCCGTGTTAATGTTCCAGTGTCAATAGTCTTAATAATGCGCTTCTCAAAAGCAAAACCTCTGTCTGATGACATAATGAGACCTGGGTGGTTCAAAGCTCATTGATGTGGCTGATATGTGACACTCTGTTATTTCTAGTTTCAATAGTGCTGGACATCTGTATTCCAAGCAGTGTTATTATAGGTAACTAAAACTAAAATAAAAATAAAACAATTGTTACTTGAAATAAAGCAAATTTTAACTGAAATAAAATACATGTAAAAAAATAAAAATATTTCAGCTATTTGCCAAAGTACCATATATTGCTGTACTAAAATACTGAAATAAAAATTTATGAAAATTATATAGATGTCACCGTATCTTTCAGTTTGGACTTTGTTTTCCTTTTGCACGTTTTTGTTCTTTGAGTTAATTGTGTCATTCCGTTCAGGTGTGTGTCATTAATTAGTCTGCTTGTGTATTTAAGTTGCTCTTTTTGTGTTCATTGTTGTCGTATCTCGACGATGTTACGTGTTGCAAGTCTTCCCTCTATATTGATTTACCTTCTGTGGATTTTTTTAAAGACCGCCTACAGTAGACAGACAATAGATATATTTTAAAAAATTATAATAATAATAAGAACAGCAAAAACACAAATAAATTACTGAAACTCTTGCTAAAATTTAAAAACAAATTCAAAATATTAATTAAAAACTATATTTATTAATGATACTAAAATAACCCTGATTCCAGCTATTCTTTGAAATTGAAAAAATAAATAAATTCCAAATAAAAAATTAAATAAATTTGTTTTTGAAACTTTAGCACTTCTAAAACACATCTTCAAGCACATCCTTGATTTCCAACAGTAATGCATTTGTGTCTTGTAGTCCTTGATTGACTGGTGCCCTTTTCACACCATATTCTGCCCTCGATTTGTAGGTTAAGTTTTTCACAGTTAGGCATGGCAAGAGTGGAAGCAGCCTGTGGTTTTTCAAAATAAATAAATTGGTCGCTGTTAGACTTATTCTTGGAGACTTAAATCAAACCGAATCCAAATGGCTACATTCACAAGATTATTAAGTGAATGGGAGAGTGGTGCTCTAAATGGAAAATCCCTGCTGTAGCCAAGCCCCCGACTTCTGGTGGACATTTCTGAACACCACATCTTCGAAATGACAAAGAAATAAAATGTCACTTCATCTGTCCGTGTTAATGTTCCAGTGTCAATAGTCTTAATAATGCGCTTCTCAAAAGCAAAACCTCTGTCTGATGACATAATGAGACCTGGGTGGTTCAAAGCTCATTGATGTGGCTGATATGTGACACTCTGTTTTGACATCAATCAGTTCCAAGCACGATCAAAGCTTTGTCATAAATATTTTTTGCTATCCAGTGTCCTACAGCTTGAGAAAAAAGTTCACAATTACAGAAGATTATTTACAGAATTTCATTTAAATTCTTCATGTTTTTTTTTCTTATCTGGGGCAGATGTTACCACCCGAATCACTTCATTATACACTTTCAGTTGCATTTACACACTATACAGTTTCACAAATTTCCATATTCAGTGGAATTCGGGGAGATTAGGGCTAGTTGTCACACTCTAGTGATTTCCCAGTTATTTTGAAAGTCAATTTTTTTGTTTCTACGGGGGGGGAAAAAAGATACAGGTCATGGAACAGACATCTTTTGTGCTTCATTACCATATGGGGCAAGTTGTCACAACAGAACCTTCCATTAAACAGCATTTTATAGGCTTTTCAGCTAAATTTGAACACCACAATGATTATACGACACAAAACAATAATAAAAAAATTCACATTTAAAACACGCGTGACAACTTGCCCCAACCTGGTATTTATGAAAAATATCCTTGTTCTGAGAACATTGTTCAACTGACCAGTCCATATCTTGTCTAAATGTAATGTGGTTTAACTGTGGCCACTTGTTTACACAACAACTATAGCGATAAAGAGAATAACACTGGAATTTTATTTTAGAAGACAGAACGCACAACAACTATATTGCAATTAAACAGCAACTGAACTATGTTGTTGAGCTAAGTGTCGAAAGCGGAAGCACACACTTTCGAAACCTTGCATTTATTAAGAAATAGCCTGTGTGACAACCAGCCACTTTCCCTGACCTCACTTTACAATTCTTGTGCATGTCATAAATCAAGAGTTTTGATTTAATTAAACCATATTGCTGCTATATATATAATAAAGTGACTCGATGCATATTAAAATCCAATAATTAAATACATAAGCTGTTCAGCTTTTGAGTAGAAATCATTGTTTTAAACACCCATGTCACCTCTGTGGTCAACATCACGTTTTTCTCTTGCCTTCCTTAACATCACCATGTAAAAATATTGCTGTTAGTCTGAATTCAAACCACAAGTGTGGAGCCACTCTAGTTTGCCAGGCTGAAAAAAAATTAAGCAAACACAGACACCTGTCTTCAATCTACAAAAATATGGTTTCGTGGAACATTTGATATAGGCTATATGTTCAAGGTCAGACCAGAGAGAAGGGGGAAACGAAATGGCAAATGCTGAATCAGGTATCTCTCTTTATCATTATTAATAAGAATTACTGAATTATTATTTAATGCATGGATAACTGAATCATTGAATGCAAATGCGCAAACATAATGTGTTATTCTGTAATGTAGTGACTTTTTTCCGGTTAAGCCATGTTTTTTTTTTTAAGGCTTTAAATAATAGCACCATTTTTTTATGTCAGAGAAATGTAGCTTTCAGGCCGGTGGTAAGAGTGAGTCACACTCACCTAAAAGCAGTGAGCTTCATCAGGGAGGGGTTATCCGTCAGAAACACACTGCAGGCTACTGAAACGGTTGCTCTGAGCGCGTGCGGTGAAACTACGAATGTATTCATCTGCATTTCGTCATTTAAAACGACATATTATCCTCTTGTGTGGAACAATTTTTTTTTTAGCCTAGCTGAACCTGCATTACGTTTTTTTTTTATTAAAGATGACCAGACGCTCTTTTGGAATATATGGATATGACGATGCACCTATTCTTCTAAATTCACCCGACAACATCTTTGTTATAATTTTATTTTTGACAGTTAATTTAGTTTAAAGGAACGTTTACTTTTATATATAAAATGATTTATTTTCTCTTGTTTACAAAATAGAACAAAAAAAAGTGTTTAACTTTTTACGCACGCAGGCAATCTGTTTTAATCCTAATGGACATTCGCCAGTGACGGTAAGCAGTTGCATTGGTCTTCACTGATTAGAGTTGTGCATAGATAGGTACTGTGGCAGAGGAATCCAAAGGAAGTTTGTTGCAACATGTAACTTATTTATAGCATATCTTTTCTTGATCGGTGCTTTTTAATGCATCCATGCAACCAACTAAATATGGCTCATTATTAAATGACTCACTGTAGCATTCTTCAGGGGAGATGTTGACTGAGAGGTCAAACGCAGGCAAAGGAACCTTGAGGAATGTTTTTAAACGATTTAAGGCTTCCAGGAGCCTCTGTCAGAACTTGCCTGTTGTTTGGTGTGGCCCTGAATAGATCTTCCCTATTTTATTTTAATTTCTTATATATATTTTAGATGACAATATGAACGTATTTGAAACAGATATATAAATGTCATCTATGATTCTTAGACTAAATCTAAAAGAGTTGCAAATGTTTGTAAAGACTACACGAAATGACTTGGGATAATGACACATTTCCTTTTTATACAGGAAGTTTGGGTGGGATGTTAATATATCTACTTTTTTACTTTAAAATTGTATTTTTGCCTTATGGAACACCACCATAATAATACAGGTGGTATAGAAAAGATGCTTGACAATCAGCAAACATTGCCAAAGAAGACAAATGGAGTAGAAACAATTTTCACTTCGAAATTGCTGGTAAATTTCACAAATAATAACAAAGAGATGGCAAGTAACACATTGAATTAAACATAAAATCTGGAAGCAGAAAGAATGAAATAGTATTTTCTTGTAAAACGTACTCCAGTAATGCTTGAAAAAAAATTTCTTTACAGTGTACATGGCCTGCCCATCAAAAAGAAAATGTGACACCCCCCTAATGTACGATAGAGATAACAAAATTAAGAAGAAACAAACTATTCAAATAAAATGTCACGTTGAAACTTTTACTGTTACATTTAGTCTTCTTCTGTAAAAAAAAAATTACAAACTTTTTGTACTGTTGCCACATTATTGTACTCTATGCTGTTCACTGTATGTGGATAATCTGTATGTATAAAGTTTTTTAATCTCTTTCTTGACATGTTAATTGATTGGCGTGACAAAACATTTAACAAAAAATTGGAGCAAAAATGCAAATGACAGTGTTTATTCCAAAGATTATTTACTAGACGGCACTCACTACATTAAACATGCTATGTGATGTGACAATCACACTAATGAAGAGTGTGAAACGTTTATCTGGGAGTAATTCTCACTGTTGTCTGCAAAGAGAAAGACTGTACATTTAAAATTCATATACTGGCCAAAAGTGAATTAGCATATCAGCATATCCAGTAGATGGCCCTAAAGTTAATACTACACTAATTTAAATTTCTTGTGGTCTTTCAAATGATCTGTTCTAAGATATATTTTTCCACCCTCAGCAGCTCTACATGAAGATGGGAGCCCTACAGCTAAACACTCCTCTGAGTTAGCCATGCATCACTGCAATTCATCAGGCACTGCGCCACTCAGCCCATTTTCCAATGACAGTCAATGGGAAGGACAGCCGACGTCTCCATCACTTGCCGATCCTGAAAACGTCACGTCAGAGAGACCGATCCTGAGCGGCCCCATAGCTGCGATGCTCTCGATGACCCTGGGGATCCTGTCTAACATTGTGGCTTTTCTCATTCTGGCGAACGCATATGCTCGACTACGTCGACGATCCAAAGCATTTCTCCTGTTTGCTAGCTCTCTGGTGGCCACAGACTTTGTGGGACATGTAATACCTGGCTCAATAGTCATGAGGCTGTATCTTTCTGGAGGTGTCCCCTCTGAAGAATACAACCGGGCGGACCCATTATGCCAGTTTCTAGGAGGCAGTATGGTGTTTTTCGGACTATGTCCGCTCTTTCTTGGTTGTGCCATGGCAGCTGAGAGGTGCTTAGGGGTGACAAAGCCACTGCTCCATGCTTCGCTGGTTACAACCACAAGGACTAAGCTCTCTCTTTCTGTTATCTGGTTAGCAGCTCTTTGTGTTGCCCTTCTGCCCTGCTTTCAGCTGGGTTCATATACCTACCAGTATCCTGGAACCTGGTGTTTCATTAAAGTGCTGGAGGACACAGAGAAGGCAGATGTAGCTTTTGTTATGCTGTTCTCAGGACTGGGGTTGACATCTCTTGCTGCTGCTTTGGTGTGTAACACCATAAGTGGACTGACGCTGGTGTTAGCGAGGATACGAAAGAAACCCTGTAACCATCGATCAGCTAGATCCCATGATATTGAGATGGTGGTGCAACTTGTGGGCATAATGGTCACATCTTGTATCTGCTGGAGCCCTCTTCTGGTGAGTATGAGCAGTTGCAATAATTCTACTGCAAACCCGTGGGTTAGTGGGGCCCCGTCATGAAAATGGGCCCCATAAATGCTGGCATAAGATTAAAACCAGTACAAACATGACAACTGTTTTGGGGGGGGGGAAAGAAAGAAAGAAAAATCACTAAAAGAACACACAATCAGTAAAACCAAGCATGAAAACATACATTATAGGTAAAATTAAATAATTTAAATTGGGCTTACACAAATGGGAAATGCATACGTATATATAAAATAAACTAATAAATACGTGTAAGTAAAGACTATATACCTTAAGCAGATATTTAGTAGACAAGTCTGGTTAATGTACAGATTAATTACCCACATTTTCGCTTTATGTTTGCAGTCTTTACATTCATTGCCCAGATATTCTTGAAAAAAATGTGACAAGACTTTGGCAACAAAAGCACTGTTTCTGTCATCCAAATGTGCTTAAAACACAGACAGTATCTCAAATAGCCACAAAGTAATCATTACTGTGACCTATTTTTATGCATTTCCAACAACTTAATCACTTCTGAGTAAGTTTTGAATCTGTGGATAATAATGCGGTACTCCATATATCGCTGTTGGCTTAGTGTCCTATAAAGATACGTTTAAGCAAATGAATAGTAGCCCATTGATGCCACAGAGTACAAAAAAATTTACAAAGCTAATTGCAATTTTATATATCATAACTGCAACTTTATATTTCACACTATAACTTTATATCTTTATTTCTTATTTTAAAATTACTTTTCATTTTTTTCTGATGCGGAAATGGTCTTCTGTATCTAAATATTACTATTATTATTATTTTAAATTAAGCATATTACTCAAGCTATCAAACTCAAGGTATTTAAAGGCACAATATATAAGATTTGTTTTATTAAAATATCCAAAAACCACTAGAACAGTGTTATGTATTTTGCTGACTTGTGTACTTACATTATCCCAAATGTTTCAAAGAATATTTAAATCCAGAGAAATAAGCAATTTTAACTAGTGACACGGACCGTGTCTATAGTGTCATTGTGTCGCCTGCCAATGACGTCATAACCCCTCGATTTCCGGTTTTGTAGAAAATATGGAAACACCAAAGACGCTTTAATATATTGTGCGTTTTAATAGACTGGCGACGACCGCACAGAGTAGCATTATAACAGAACTTTCAAATGGAGTATGATAAAGCAGCACTGCTTTCCCCCACATACGCACGACCGGAAGGAGCGGAAGCAGTCGACTGTGGCATAATAAAAGCTCCGCTGCTTTCGAGTCGTGTGTCACGCTCGTTCAGCGGCCTCCTTTAGCTTTGACGACTTTCAGCCTCACCCTGCTTCATTCTACTACGTTAACAAATCATTAGCTCATCCATGAACATGATTTCTGCCCGAGTCCTGTCGGATTGCGTCGGCTGTGTGGATGAAGATGACAACTCCCATGATTCCACACTCAGTCACCGCGTCATCAAACTACACCTTTGTTTCTTTGTTTATTTTGAATATGCGCCCTCCAGCGGCTGTGCCTTTAAATCTCAATTGTTTTCCCCTTGACACACAATTTATAACAAAATGGCATAGAATAGTATAAGTATATGAACTGGAGAGCACCTAATATTTTAATAGACTGGATTATGGATTTCTTGGACCTGGATATTTTGTCATAATCAATCCTTATGGTGTTTTGTCTTTGTCTCTCAACTCTAGATTGTTGGCCTAATTACAGTGAAACAGTCGTACGAGGGCTCTATTGGAGACGACCTTGTCACCTATAAGACCCTAATGATAATGGGGGTGCGGATAGCGTCCTGGAACCAGATACTGGACCCATGGGTCTACATTCTTCTTCGTCGTTCTGTCCTCCAAAAGATTTACTTCATCACTAAACGGCAAACAGACTTTAAGGAAAGCACTTTTCGCTGCTGGGAGATCCATTCCTTTCCCAGCTCTGAGAAGAATCCTGTCAGTAGAGTCTGAGTGAATGTAAATAAAAACAGAAGGCCTACTCCGTGTCAGTCAGCTCTACCATAGAGGATCTCACTGGGCCCCTTTATTACAGCATGTGCTGCACTCTCTATGTTAAGAATGTATTTATTTAAACAAATTTGCACAAAGACAAATAAAGCATGAGATGAACAGTCCTATTATTCCCTATAAAGCACTAATAATAAGAATTTGGCTGGAAACATTCATGCCAGTGTAACAGAGAACAGCAAATACATAGAAATAGAAAATACATTTGAGTTAGTAATTGAAGCATTAATTCAGCCAGTGTTGTAGCTTTTGGTCTAGGACAATGTTCTGTGTCTAGTTGTTCCCCATGATGACAGCCCTGGGCATGAAAACCAACATGACAGCGACAAGAGGCACAAAATATTTGAATGCTTGTTTTACTGAAAACAAATGTTCACCTAATCGAAAATTTTGTACAGCATGATCATCAACAATATATTAACTGTGAACATGATTTTCCCCTGCAGAAGGAGAAGACAGTTTTCCCTTATGTTTATCTTGCATATACAGTATGTTACGCTGCAAAGATGCTCATGTGAATAATTATGTTCATAATATTGTTTAATTTATTTGTGTTATCCCTCCAATTTTCTGGAGGCTTTTAATGTTGTTATTTTTACATTGACAAACACTATAATAAAACAAAATGTATTATATTTTAATTACATTTCCGTTCCTACCTATGAAATCAGTTTATATATATATTTTTTTTTTTTCACTTCATAACTAATTTGATGCATGGATGTCACTAAACCAAGGTCAAACTTCAAATAAATAATTAAACAAACAGAATATTGGAAAAGCCAGAATAATAATACCCAGTACTGTTAATGATCACTGCTTATGTATTACAAACCCGATTCCAAAAAAGTTGGGACACTGTACAAATTGTGAATAAAAACAGAATGCAATGTGGAAGTTTCAAATTTCAATATTTTATTCAGAATACAACATAGATGACATATCAAAGGTTTAAACTGAGATATTAATTAATTAGTTATTCAAGATCTAGTCAACATGTTGTTATATACGAAGTAAGATGACATTAAATAGTTTAATACAGGCTTTTCAGAAAAATTTACAGTTGTTAGATGCGAAACATTTCAAAACAGCAAAAATGGGGATATGGAATATAACACCAAACCACTGTACAGTAGGCTAATTGTTATTGACGAATTTGAATAGTAATGTGACAACCTACCGCAAACAAAACAAACAAACTTGTTATTATCCTTATTTTTGGTACAATGGAAAGAGTATATATTTTAACAGTTTCAGATAATTGCATTTAGTTCTATTTAATGTAACATGCATTTTTGTGCTTAAGGAATAATCTGTTCATCCAGAACACATTTCATTTGTATTTTGCTGCAGTATTTACCCTGTTCACAACTGAGTTCATTTAAATTGAAGTATTGCTTTTGTTGACTAGTTGCAAATTGACTTTCTCAACCAAGCCTTCTAGTTTGTCAATTTTAGGGGCGCTGGACTTTTGACCAACTGGAAATTCTCTGTCTCGGAAGGGGGGGACGCAGTTGGCCTACAGATGAGGAGGGTGAAATATCTGTAGAAGTAGAGTATTTTTAAAGGAGATTAATCACTGTTCGAACAGACAGGGGTGCATACTAAGTGTTGTGTTAGACTTCCCAAATAGTTCCCCCTCTTCCTCTTGCCAGTGGGCATGGGAACACTGCGTCTACCCCCTGACCAGATGACAGAACCCCCCTTGGTCAAACTGTACCTTGTCTTCTTACTCCATTCGTCACTAGAACCGTGTGCGGAAAGCTCTCCGCAGGACGCTCTGGACAGGCAGAAATGCCTGACTTCTCTGGCGTCTCTCCGCCAGGCCAAGTGGTTTCAGGTTTGCATCCCGTTTTTATTTGTCTAAAAGTCGACTTGTAACTTAATCTGACCTTTGACCTGGGGAAAATATATTTTGAAAAATGCTTTTTAAGCCTGCTTGAACTTTGAAACGTCTATAAATGCTTTAAACTTAATTGCGCATAACCTGTTTCCGTTTAAATGTCAGATGTATCTTCCCCAGGTTGCGATTTGTTTGTTACTGGTCAGAAACTTTAATTTGGCCAGATTGATCTGCTTCATACAAAACGTCCTCTAAAAAGCATCTAGAAGTTCTTTGAAGATGCATGATAAAGTGTTGACGGGTTTGCTATTTGTTGGGTTAACAGGCTAAAGTGTCCGAGCTTGAGTCATGTGTCATCGTGATTCGGATCTTTCGGGACTTGTGTACCCGTGTTTCAACGTGGGCCCCGCTCAAAGGATGGGTGAGTCAACCTCAAAAACAACAACAAAGAAATATATCTTTACAATTAGACATTTATATAAATGTTTAAGGTCACTTTTTTGAGTCTGTCTCTTTAATCATATGTTTTTCGGCAGATTCTTGAGTTGCTCTGTCAGAAGGCCATTTCAACCAGCGAGAGGCTGCTAGGACCTGGAGAGGCGTTCCGGAGAGTTCTAGAGTGTCTTGCATCAGGGATACTAATAGAGGGTAAAGACTGAAACAAAGCATTGTCTTTGTTTCTGAGTGACTTTTGGTGTTTTGAGTCATCTACTGAGCATGACCCATCTCTACAGGTGGTCCAGGCATTTCTGATCCCTGTGAGCGAGATAGCACTGATGCTGGTGCCCATCTTACACTGCAACAGAGAGAAGACATTACCCAGAGTGCACAGGTTACTTGCAATCCAACACTATAGTTTGACTTTACTTTACAGTGTTTTGATCTAGAAACTATACAAATAAAAATGGTTATGTACTTGTCCCAATGTCATTCTAAACCCATATGGTGGTGCTTTTTATTGTGGAGCACAATGAAAATGTCATGACGCTGTTTTCCATAAGATAACTGTTCATTGTGACCATATATTTCAAAGCTCAAAAGATAAAAAATGTTATTCACTGAAAATCTTCACCTATGATGCAGTGCTCAAATATTTTCAAATATGCAGAACAAAAATTAGATATCAGGACTTTGTAATCAGTGTGCAGTGCTTTCTTTTTCTTTCTCTTCCTCATACAAATCTCTTGACTAAACTATGAACTCTCTTTGTGAACATTTCTCTTTTTTTGATGATGGGGAAAAGAATACTGCAACATGAGAGTAAATGACTAAGGCTAGATGGTTATTAGAGCTGATCCATATACAAAATTTCCAACCTTGGAGGAACCCCATTTATTTCTTTCACATTTAATTTGTTGCTTTCCTCTCACGTCTAGTTTGCCTTAAGACTGTCAGCTTTTGGGCAACTTTACAAAGTTCTTGGAATGGACCGCCTCAATTCCAAATTTGCTAGATTGCTCAGCGAACAAAACAGAGGTACCAATGTGACTTTTTATAATGTTCAGTTGCACCTGTTTTCCACTCTTAAAATCAAATAGCTATGTAAGCTTTTGTTTCTTTAAAGCTTCTATATGTAAATGACACCTATTAGGATTGCATAATCTGTATGAGAACTACTGGTGTAGTTCACATTGGATTGGCACTGAATAGGCATTGAATGTAAAGTGTTAATTAGTGAATGATGCTTTGTGCATGTGTGTGTGAGATTTTTATTTTTTTTTGGATGGACTAGAGAGAGACCATGGCATTTCGAATGCTAATATATATGTATAATATTATGTTCGGTTTTATTTCATAAGAGTAAAGGGAAAAACCTGTTTTCTGTGTCTGTTAACCTATTATAATGCCACATCTCTTCCTTTCATTTAATTACATTTCAATGACTGATATCCCAGTAAAGAGGCCAAGAGAAGTTTATGATGCTGGGGATCTTGAAATGAGGCCAAAGTTTCCAAGAAAAGGTATGCATCTCAATTTCAGTCTCTTTCCCATCATCCTCTTTTGTTACAAATTTTATATTTAATGTAGGGATGCACGATATTGGATACCGTTATATTTCCTTTTGTTTGGAATCAACACCAAGTCTCTCCTGTGCAGAGATTATAAACAAATTATTTTTAATTTTTAGTAAGTTTTGTGTAAAAACTTGCTTGTTAGAACTAATTAAACATTATTAAAGTTAAACTTTTTTTAATGAGAGTACATTGAATGCTTTGATAATACTATAATAAAATCAGTCAGTACAATTTTTTTTTTTCTTTCAGACAAATGCAGTTGCAACCTTAACATTTTAATGTTATTTGTGTATTTTATTTTTCATTTTATTACAAGTAGACCTACAGCGCCCCCTAAATAAATAAAAGCCTTACCGGATGGACATTAGGACCTAGGGGAGGCTGCCGCAGCTTTCGATTCCGATAATATTGAGCATCCCTAATTTAATGTATAGTAAATACTGCATGCCTCATCTTTTAGTTAAATACGTATTGTATACAATGTCAGCCATATTGTTTTTCCATAATACCTGTGTTCTCCTGGCAGAAAGGCGCGAACCAGCAACGGCTAAAACATTGTCTATCTTTATATTCCTGTGAGGCATAGAAATTCAACCCGTGTCATCCACAGTTCAGCAACTGTTTTTTCTGTTGCCCTAAATCCTGTTTCTAATGGTGACATCCTTGAGTAAGCATGAGGACAGTTCTGCTGTTTAAATCTAATGTTTTCCTGCTGCTGTTCTCACTTCCAATAGAATAGTTTATAGTTCTGATTATATCTCATGTGCATGTTTTTTTTTATGTCATATATTTGACCTGTGCAAGAATAAACCATTTTTTCTATTTTTAATTGCTTTCTTGTTGCTTTATTTGACAGAAATTGTGAAACAAGCTCATAGTTCCATGCATCATTTTACATGTTAAAATGCATATCATAGGCTTTTGAGAAACGTTTATTTGTGCATCTCTCAGTCATCGTTATAAATATAATTTTACGAAGACATTATTGGGAGATACAGATTGACAACTGATATTATTGCATTTTGTGTTCGTAGTCTGCTATACTCTTATGGATTTACATTATAAGCTATCAGAATTTCATTTAATTTATGCACAAAATTGCTTTTGGTTGATTAGATCCCTTTCTAATAAACCAATTCTGCCATTCCAGTAATTAATAAAAGGACAGTTATTAATGCTATGGCATAAAATGACATTCTAGAGAATTTTGTGCTTTCAACTTTGGGGAGGGCTCTGTTCTATTCCAGCACAACAATGCTCCTGTGCACAAAGCAAAATCCATGCAAAAATGATTTACTGAGTCTGGCGTGAAGTAATTTGACTGACCTGCACAAAACCTGAACACCTTTAGCATGAATTGGAACGCTGACACTGTCACCAAACATCTGTGCCAGATGCTCTGTTTTCTGAACTAGCATTTAGCCTCAACACTGACACGAAATAAAAGTCACAAACCTAATTTCTTAATGACTTAAATGTTAATACATCTATCATTTGATAAGATTTAACAGCATTCTGTAGTTGTTTTACAGAAATCTAAATAGAGGCAGAACAGAAAAACAGAAGAGAAGTAAAAAGGTGGAACATTAGTCTTACTAGGTGTGTTTGAAACACATGCACTTGGTCACATGCATCTGTGGTCATTGAGTCAGTAGGAACATGCTTCGCCTGCATGCTTAGGTCACGTGCACACCCATCCCTATATGGGACCTAATATATAGTGGATGAGAGAAAACAGAGCATCCAGTTGAGGGATCACTCATCTGACACGAAATAAAAGTCACAAACCTAATTTCTTAATGACTTAAATGTTAATACATCTATCATTTGATAAGATTTAACAGCATTCTGTAGTTGTTTTACAGAAATCTAAATAGAGGCAGAACAGAAAAACAGAAGAGAAGTAAAAAGGTGGAACAGTAGTCTTACTAGGTGTGTTTGAAACACATGCACTTGGTCACATGCATCTGTGGTCATTGAGTCAGTAGGAACATGCTTCGCCTGCATGCTTGGGTCACATGCACACCCATCCCTATATGGGACCTAATATATAGTGGATGAGAGAAAACAGAGCATCCAGTTGAGGGATCACTCACACAAGGATACTTCAAGGACTAAGCCACTCATTCATTGTGAGTCTTTTTATCTGCTCTAGATTATCATAATGTCACAGTTTAATAACCACAACTCTGTTGTCTGTTTCTCAGTTATATTTTAATCGGGGATTTTATGATACGGTTCCCCTTTTTCAACTGAACTATCACTATCACTGGGAAATTGTATATGTATGAGTATGTCTATGCATGCAAATTAGCATACTACAGATAATAGTACTACTGAAATAGTAAGAGTGGTATGCTAGTGTACTATTCAAAATTCAGCTGCAGTGTTTCTACCACCCCATTGGACAAGCTGGTTAATGGGGTAAAAGAAAACAGCTGTAACTGAAATCAAGGCATGGCTTATTGATGATCAGAATGATATAAAGATAGAGCCAATGCTGTAGATGGGTATGAGGTGTAGAAAGAGGGTTCTCAAAGAGCAAAAGCTGCTGGTATATGTGTTTTCTGTATTGTGCTTGAATTTGATGCCTCAATGTAGTGTCAGTTCTTTTTGGTTTTATGCTTGTGAGAATTTTATTTTTTTATATGATGTTGTTACTGTCTTTTTGTACAGATGACATCATCACTAATGCTGGTGTTTTTAACTGCTCTCCCTGGGGTCCTCTGCTACCACTCATTCATTGACCTGGAAGCTAACGGGAGTGAGTTGGCATTGATTTATATTAAATGCTTAAGAACTTGTCAGTTGTGTTCTAGAGCTCCGTATTAATTCTGTAATCTCTTGAGTGTTATCTCTGATCTTTTATTGCCTTCATCAGGTAACAAGTCATCTATCAGGTTCCTGGTTTTGGGGGACTGGGGTGGTCTGCCATATCCTCCTTACGTTACCCCTATAGAGAAGACCACTGCACGCATGATGGCCAAAACTGCTTCTCAGATGGGCGCAAACTTCATTTTAGCACTTGGTGACAACTTCTACTATAAGGGCGTCAGTGACGTCAATGACCCTAGATTCCAGGTTTGGTTTCTGGAGTTTAGATCCCTTTTAGTTTTGTAAATGCAGGATTTATTTTATTTGAATTTATTTTGATCTTGTTTGTTAATGAGAGCCTGAATCCTCATGAAGTGGGTCTACTGCTGAAATGTCAAATGCTAACTCTACAAAAGTGGTTGAGTATTGGTATGACCATTTCTAGTTGTGTGCTGGGTGTAAAAAGTGCAAATTGGTGTAGAAGAGTTTAAGCTGTCTTGTCTAATATAGGGGTGCTCAGTCCTGCTCCTGGAGGGCCAGTATCCTGCAGAGTTTGGTTTCAACCAGCTCCAACATGCTTTCCTGGAAATGTCTAGTGAGTCTGAAGACCTTGATTACTCTGGTTCATGTGTATTTAAGGTTGGCACTAAATTCTGCAGGACCGTGGCGCTCCAGGAACTGGTTTGGAAACTCCTAGTCTAATCTCTTCCACCTAATGTAGGCCATGGTCCTTTAATTATTTGTAGGTCACGTTTGAAGATGTCTACACTCAGGATTCTCTTAATATTCCATGGTACGTCATTGCTGGCAATCACGACCATGCAGGAAACGTCCTTGCTCAAATTGAGTACAGCCAGAAGTCAAAGAGATGGTACGTGAGCCAATGTGTCTAGGCCTCCATGTCTAATTGAGTTTGGTTTCCTGGCTCTTAAGCTGGTTTGCAATTTAATTATATTGTCAGTGCAGCTGTGCCCGGTGTGTAGACTTGGCAGATGCCCTGTTCTTTTCCAAAAAAAAGTTTAATGTTCTTTCCATCTTCAAGGAACTTCCCTTACTACTATTATGAGATGAACTTCCGCATTCCTCGAACAGACAGCACACTGACCATCATCATGCTGGACACGGTGTTGCTATGTGGCAACTCTGATGACTTCCTTGACCAGCAGCCCCGAGCTCCCCGAAGTGGCATTCAGGCCAACAGACAGCTGCTGTGGCTTCAGGAACGTTTGGCAAAGTCTAAGGCTGATTATCTCCTGGTGGCTGGCCATTATCCGGTATGGTCCATATCAGAGCATGGGCCAACCGACTGTCTGCTGAAGAAATTGAGACCACTGCTTAAGAAGTACAAGGCTACTGCTTACCTGTGTGGCCATGATCACAATCTACAAGTAGGTCATAAAGCCTTTTTCATAAGGTTCCGTTTGGGTCAACTTTTGTATTTGACTTGTTTTCCCTCTTTGCCGTTTTCAGTACCTCAAGGAGTCTGGTATTGGTTATGTGGTTAGTGGAGCTGGTAACTTTATGGATCCTGATGTGCGGCACCGAAACCAGGTTCCTCGAGGCTACCTCAAGTTCTTCAATGGTGACGCTGGCACCTTGGGTGGCTTTGCCCATGTAGAGGTTAACAAGAGAGAGATGACTGTTACTTTTATCCAGGCTAGAGGAACCTCTCTTTACAGGGCTGTTCTTAAAAAGCGTGATCTTTCCAGAGTGGATGAGTATGTTTGAGGTTCTTACCCAGTTTTAATCTTTTAGCATTATGCTATGAATTAGATGTGCTCAAGATTAGAAAAATGCACTCTTTGACCTTAAAGATGTTATAGAGTAGTCTTTTAAATGGTTTACCCAGTAATTGTTTTGTATGTCTTGAGAACCTGTAAGTGTTTTAAAGTGATTATTAAATAACTCCTTTTAAACCATTTGAGTCCGCTTCTCCGTAGCTTGCAATTTGACTTTTTCTGCTTGTCACAATTGACTGTAGCGCTGTTGTCAACACTAATTTGGTTTTAATCTTTGTGCAACAGTCTCCTTGTGCCCATCATGAGTAGTGCTTTCTATGTTAAACTATGCCCTTTTTCTCAGCCATAGTGCCTCTTGTTAATTAGTTGATGCCTTCTGATATTACCCTTTCAGAAACTGATAAAAGGGTTAGTTCACCTAAAAATGAAACTTCTGTTATTACTCACCCTCATGTTGTTCCAAACCCGTTTAAGACTTTTGTTCGGAACACAAATTAAAGTGGTCCTATGATGCTGCTAAAAAGAACATTTATTTGGTGTAATGAAATGTGTTTTAAGGTTCAAAAAACACTTTCCGCATACTGTACATTGTTTCTCCTCTATGCCCTGCCTTTCTGAAATGCGTCTTATTACAAAGCTCATCGGTCTGAAAAGTGAGGTGTGCTCTGATTGGCCAGCTATCCAGTGCGTTGTGATTGGCTGAATACTTCAAACGTGTGCTGGAACTATTACACCCCTACCATATTGTGATGCTCCGTCTGGCCGGAGTGTAACATAAAACCATGTCTGCATTTGTGATCGGAGAAATGACAAACAACAAGTGCTGCTCTACACTGCCCAAAAAACTCTCGTTTGAATCGTCAGTGGCAAATTCTGTAAATCTAAAAAAAAAAACGTACTTTCAGTCTGTGAGTCAGAACAGCACATTTTAGTTTATTCTACCAGGATCAGGAAACAGTCCTCCATAAAATGCGCTGCACACATCTGAATATTTGGGTTGAACTGTTCCGGAACAGTGTTGTAAAT